ACCTCTCTCTTCTTCCTATCAGTCCAACCAAAGGCTTCCTTGGTGTCCTTGAGCAGGGAGCCCTCAGTGACCAGTATTTGTTTCGTCTCTTTCAGACCCTCCCTGAATGATCTCACCCAATGGTAACTGACTAAGAAGATGATGTCAAGGAACTCTCAATTCTGGGAAGCCTGGGAAGCTACCTTCTATGGCAGGAAACCAAGGGTGTGCACCCCATTTTTTAATTCCTTTGGAGAATGGTCTCTGAAGGTTCCACAGTTTCGTCTGCCTAGAGTATGTGGGGGAGGGTGGATAGGGATGAAGCAGCTGCTAGGAAAAATGCCAATGAACAAAAGATGTGTCCTGACTGGTGTGCCATTTCACTTGATGTTTCAGCCCAGTTTGATGATGCCAATGTAAAGGAGTGGTCTTCAAAAGCCCAAGACCTAATCACAGAAAGGGGACTGATAGGTGAGATTTCAAACTAACTATAAAAATATGATCATGGAAGTGATCCACTTGCAAGGTGTGACCAAGCTCCTAAATTAGAAAGTGAATAGTACCATAGGATGAACAACAAAATGCCATATCATCTGGGTGATCTTCAAGTCAATTTGGTCAATCTAGGCCAGGGTCAGACTCCAAAAGGAACTCAGATCCTAATCAGACATATACAAGCCATGAACTACGCACAACTGGAAAAGGGGAGGTTATAAGCAATCACATGAAAAGGGAAAGGCAGCATGGGCAGAGCCATTTGCCTAAAAGAAAGGGGCCAGGACTCTGGTAGTAAGGCTGGGACTAGTAAAGGCCTGAGGTTAACACAATTTATAAAGACAAAGTAAACATTTAAAATAAAGAAACATAAATGGACTTTGTCTTTATAGATTATGTTAGCCTCAGGCCTTTAGTGGTCTGGATGTATTTATTTGAAATGCAGTAGGGAAGAAGAAATTGAGAGGCCAGGCATCTCCAGAGAAGAGGAAGAGTTGGCTCAAACACCAAGGTTTTTTTGCAAGTCACACTGTCTCTGGAAGGGAGCCTCAGAGCTTAAAAAAAGGATAGAATTGCAGATCCTTTAATGAAACTTCCCAGAAGAGAGAAGGAAGGCTCCTGAGGCAATCAGTCAGTAGTAGAATGAAGGGGGCCAATCGGAGTGATTGACCAGTGCAGCTCACCACTCTGATCTCCTGCTCCTCGGATTCTAGTTTGGCAGAGAACAGTTTCAACTTCTTCCTGGACTGTTGCAGCTCAGTAGCACTTATGCTGGTGTTGAGGAGGCCATTCCTTAAATGCACTATTGTTTGTCATCCTCAGTAAAGAATATTGTTTTGATGAATGCTTAATAGGTACATGGCACAATAGGTCCAGACATTACATGTAGGGGGGCAGAGTCAAGATGGCAGAGGAAAAGCAGTGACTTGCTTGAGCTCTCCTCCAAACTTCTCCAAATACCTGTAAAAATGATTCTAAACAAATTCTAAAGCAGCAGAACCCACAAAAAGACAGAGTGAAACAAATTTCCAGCCCAAGATAATCTGGATAGTTGATTGGAAAGATCTATCATGCCTGGCAGGGAGAGAAGCGCAGTGTGGCATGGCGTGGGCATGCCTGCTCTAGTGAATCTAGAGCAGGCCTCAGAGGACTGAATCACAGGCAACTGTGGCAGTTTCCAGACCTCTGAACCCACGAAAGCCAAAGACAACTTAGAAGGTCAGTGGGAAAAGTCTGCATCTGCAGTGGTGACAGAGAAGCACAGGGTCCTAGTACCATTCCCTGAGCTTGGCCCCAGGGCAGCAGCTGCCTCCTGAGCTTCCAGCCCACAGACTGAGGGGGAATTGAGTGGCTGATCAGAGAGGGATTGCAGGGATCTCTCTGCTGGTGCTGAGGCAGGATTCTCTTGCTTTACCTGTGCTTAGATCTGAGTCACAGTTCTGGGTGTTGGTCCTGGGGTGAGGAGGAGCACTGGTGTGGTGGAGCTTGTAGGGGCTGTGGAGAAAGAATCCTCCTCACAGTTCCAAGACAGAAAAAGAGTGCTTGTGGTCACTTATACACCAGAGCACAGGCCAGGAAAGGAGTAAACACCTCACCTTGATCACACTACCTTGGAAGAACTGAATATTTACAGGTCCCTAGAAGTATCTCTGAAAACAGCCGCACAAAACCCCTGAAGCTTGGGACAGTACATTTTCCACACTGGAAACAGACCTCTACCTTAACAAGGAGTTTATAACTCAAATAATTGACTGGAATCATGAGCAAGCAGCACAAAAAGAGTCAGACTATATTATCTTACTTTGGTGACAAAGAAGATGAAAACATACAACCAGAAGAAGACCACAAAACCAAAGCTCCTACATCCAAAACCTCCAAGAAGAATATGAATTGGTCCCAGGCCATGGAAGAACTCAAAAAGGATTTTGAGAAGCAAGTAAGAGAAGCAGAGGAAAAAAAATGAGAGTGATGCTAAAGGAAACCCCCCCAAAAAATACTGAAGAAAATAACACCTTGGGGCAGCTAGGTGGCACAGTGGATAGAGCACTGGCCCTGAAGTCAGGAGGACCTGGGTTCAAATCTGGCCTCAGACCAAATACTTGACACTTACTAGCTGTGTGACTCTGGGCAAGTCACTTAACCCCAATTGCCTAAAAAAAAAAATGAAAATAACACCTTAAAAAACAGACTAACCCAAATGGCAAAAGAGGTCCAAAAAGTCAATGAGGAGAAGAATGCTTTAAAAAGCAAAATTGGTCAAATGGAAAAAGAAGTCCAAAATCTTACTGAAGAAAATACTTCCTTAAAAATTAGAATAGAGCAATTGGAAGTTAGTGACTTTATGAGGAATCAAGACACTGAAAAACAAATCCAAAAGAATGAAAAATTAGAAAACAATGTGAAATGTCTCATTGGAAAAACAACTGACCTGGAAAATAGGTCCAGGAGAGATAATTTAAAAATTATTGGACTATCTGAAAGCTATGGTCAAAACAAAATACCCTAGACATCATCTTTCAAGAAATTATCAAGAAAAACTGCCCTGATATTTCAGAACCAGAAGGCAAAATAGAAATTGAAAGAATCCAGTGATCTCCTCCTGAAAGAGATCCCCAAAGGAAAACTCCTAGGAATATTGTAGCCAAATTCCAGAGTTCCCAGGTCAAGGAGAAAATATTACAAGCAGCCAGAAAGAAACAATTCAAGTATTGTGGAAACACAATCAGGATAACACAAGATTTAGCACCTTTTACATTAAGGGACCGCAGGGCATGGAATATATTATTCTAGAGGGCAAAGGAGATAGGACTACCACCAAAAATCACCCACCCAGCAAAACTGAGCAAAATCCTTCAGGACTAAAAATTGACATTCAGTGAAATGAAGGACTTTCAAGCATTCTTGATGAAAAGACCAGAATTGAATAAAAAATTTGACTTTCAAATACAAGACTCAAGTGGAACATGAAGAGGTAAACAGGAAAGAGAAATCATAAGAGACTTATTAAGATTGAACTGTTTACATTCCTGCATGGAAAGATGATATTTGTAACTCATGAGACCTTTGTCATTACTAGGGTAGTTGGAGGGAAGCAATTATATGTATGTATATAGATAGATAGATAGATAGATAGATAGATAGATAGATAGATAGATAGACAGATAGATAAATAGTTGGTTAGCTAGATAGAGGGCACAGGGTGAGTTGAAGGCAAAGGGGTGATATCTGGAGAATAAAATTAAGTGGTGAGAGATGATTATACTGGGAGAAGGAGAAAGGGAGAGGTAGAATGGGAAAAAATAGAAAAGACTCTTACAGTGGAGGGGAAACAGGGGCAGGTGAGAGGGAATGAGTGAATCTTATTCTCATCAGATTTGGCTTAAAGAAGGAATAACATACACACTCAATTGGGTATGGAAATCTATCTTACCCTACAGGAAAATAGGGGGGGAAGAGGAGAAGAGAGCAGAGGGATAATAGAGGGGAGGGCAGATTGGGAGAGGGGGTAATCAGAAGCAAACACTTCTGAGGAGGGACAGGGTCAAAAGAAAGAATAGAATAAATGGGGGGCAGAATAGGATTAAGGGAAATAGATTTAGTTTTTCACAACATGACTACTATGGAAGTGTTTTGCATAACTGCACATGTATAGCCTATATTGAGTTGCTTGCCTTTTCAATGAGGGAGGGTGGGGAGGGAGGAAGGGAGAAAATTTGGAACCCAAAGTTTTAAAAACAACATGTTTTAAAAAAAATTGTTTTCACATGCAACTGGGAAATAAGAAATATGGGAAATGGGGTACAGAAATCTATCCTGCCCTACAGGGAAATAGAAGGGGAAGGGCATGAGAGAAGGAGGGTAGAGACAGAAGGGAGGGCAGACTAGGGGAAGGGGTATTGAGAGTGCATGCCATCTTGGGGTGGGGGGAGGGTCAAGGTGGGGTGAAAATTTGGAACTCAAAATTTTGTGGAAGTGAATATTGAAAACTAAAAATAAATATGTTTATATAAATGTCAAAAAATAAAAAACCAGACATTACATGTACAGTACTGAATGCCTTGAATTCCAGCATGGCCCGTGGGGCCAAAGGCTCTTAGCTTCTCTCTCAGGATGAAATACAAATTGGGAACAAATTGGGAATACAAAATGGGAATAAATATTTCATATGCCACAGGGTGAAGCAGCAAGGTGGCCCAGTGGATAGAGCACTTGGCTACGAATCAAGAAAACTCATCTTCCTGAGTTCAAATCAGATCTCAGACACTTACTAGATGTGACCCTAGGCAAATCACTTAACACTATTTATCTCAGTTTCCTCATCTATAAAATAAGCTGAAGAAGGAAATAGCAAAACTATTACAGTGCCTTTGCCAAGAAAACACCAAATGGTGTCACAAAGAATTGGACATGACTGAAAAATGACTGAACAAAAGTGTCACAGGGTATCTGACCATCCAGAATGCCAGGCATTGAGGGAGAAATACAACCAAAGCTTATACCAAGGTTTCAGTAAGAGGCATACTAACCTGATGAAATCCCAGATAGTCCTGAATGGTATGAGAGGAGTAAAAGATCAACCCCTCAGAGGTGACCACCAGCACAAAACCATTCAGGGCCTGAAGGAGAAAAATAAGAGATAAACAAAGTCAGGATCATCTTTTCTCTCTTCCTCTTATCTCTGGAGTCATACAATCAAGCAACAAGCATTTATTAAGCACCTACTGTTTGCCAGGCATTGTGCTAGTCTCTGAGGACACCAAGACAGGAAAGAAAGAAGGTAACAGCATTTTCTTAGTTGATAGAGGCAGTGTGGCTTTTCCCATGCTTTCTCTGGATATAATTCAAAGGAATCATCGAATTTTAGAACTGAAAGGAATAATCTAGTCTGTCCCCTGAATTTTAAAGATGAAATGCCTGGCACCCAGAGGTAAAGTGAAGTAAAATTATTAAGGGCTCCCATTAACTTAGCATCGGAGTCAGGCTTCCAACCCAGAGCTCCCAAATGCTTCCAAGTTTAGCTCCCTTCCCATGGCATCACCCAGACATTGCAGGGAGGCTTCCAGCATGTTGGAGAGATAATCTATGGAGAACTGATATGAGGACAGGGAGACAGATTGCATAGATTGAGAAAAGGAGGATGAGTCAGAATTTGTCCTGATAGAAAGAGTATTCAAAGGGGTGAGATCATAGTGTCCATTGAAATACTGAAATATATGTTAGAGGTAAAGGAAAAACTATGAGCAAATTTATTAAGGGGAGTCCTGCTTGCAATTCCATTTGAGCCAATGGATATTTATCAACAACTGTAATAGCAATGATGATGATGATGAGGATGATGGGGATGATGATGATGATGATAGCTAGCATTTACATAGTACCTTAAAGTTTGTTAAGTGCTTTGAAAATATCAACTGTTTTTTTTTTAAAATCAGTATAAGTAAAGTTTTCTACTTGGGTTTAAATAGTCAACAATACAGATGAAGGATGGGTGATCTATAGGCTAGAAAAATCTGGGAATTTTAAGAAACTGAAAATTCAGGATGAGTCAGCAGTATGATATGGTAGTCTAAGGAAGGAAGGAAGGAAATGAGCATTTATTAAATACCTACTATGTGCCAGGCACTGTGCTAAGTGCTTTACAAATATTCTCTCAGATGATACAGTTCTGAACATGTTAGAGTAACTTAGGAAGAAGTCGCTTCACTTCTATGAATGAATGAGGCATTTATTAAGATCTTATTATATACAAAACACTGCACTTTTCGGGGTCTTATCTATTGAATGTGGGAATTATATTAGATGATTCCCTAAGGTGCTTCACAGACCTTTGAAGAACAAAAACCCATCTGATTTCAGACTTCATTCAGTCAATCACCAGTCCATCTGACCAGCTGGGCCAACATAAGGCTAGCATACAAAACCCAGAAGAAGAAAGGCTCCTTGACTTGTGTCTAAAGGCTGGACTATTTTTCTGCTATCATTGGCCAGGCTGACTTTGAAGGAAACAAAGAGAGAGAAAGGGAAGTGAGCCTTCTTAATGTACAGCTGGGTGGCCAAGGGTAGCTGGGGTTCTTGGGTAATTTCCTCATCTGAAACAATGGGGATAATAATAGCCATCATTGCTACCTTTAGGGTCCTTGTAAGGCTCAGAGGAGGTGATTTGGCAGCCTCTGATGCATCATGTCAGGCATGGCCATCATTGTGAATTCAAGGGCTATTGTTTTAGGACTAACTTTCTGCAATGTGATTACATCATTCAGATCATTCTATCTCTTCCTTCTCTAAACCACCAATAAAAGTACTGGTCTTCCCTTAAGTTTCGAAATGTCTCTTGCTTTTTGGAATAATGATCTCAGCCACCATGAGTTGTTCTTTTCTTTCTTTCTGGGAGGAGGGACATTTGTATTTGGAAGCATTTTCTCAGGTTCCAAGTCAAAAAATAAAATAAATGATTGATGGTCTTCTGCCACTATGGGGTCTTGGGGCACTTGCTGTCCTGAGCTGTGTCCAGATTGCTCTAGGAGTATATACATGGCATACAGCTACTCTGTTTACTTAACCGCACAGCAGGCAAACAGGCTCTGTGTGTGACATGTGTGAAGGATGCAAAATATGATTTCCTGCTGAGACGATTTTCCATGGATATTTATTCTAGGGTACAAGAAATCATCCAGATTTTCCTCTCACTCACTTAGGATTTTCACACAAAGCCAGTTAGTAAACAACTTATGTTTAACCTACCTTGTACCCTGGCTTTATTAAGGCACTTTTTAATGGGATCCTCCTGCCTCTTCCTGATCTGGAAGGATAACATTATCTCACCTACAGAAGGGGTTCTTAACTTAGAATCCTTGAACTTAAAAAAAAAAGGACAAGTGTATTTCATTATAATTGAAATTAACCTTTTCAGTCTTCTATATTTTACCTAAGGCATTTAAACGCATTCTTCTGAGAAGGGGTCCATAGGCTTCAGCAGCCAAGGGGGGGGGCAGAGAAAAGGTGAAGACTCTGCAAGGCCCCACACTGGTCTTGCACATGTATTTCTCTCAAGAAGTCATAACTTTTTAGGCTACTTCTAGATGGCACTTATTTATCACCCTACTTGGTAGGTACTGATCACTCATTTCAGTTATGGGTAGGAAAATAGTAAAGACAAAAGAAATTCACAATTGCATTATAGTAAATCATATCAACTTCTTCCCTTTGGACTCTCCATACCTTGGACATTCTGGCCTCCATGTGTGGAATGCACTCCCTCTACCTCAAAGAACTCCCAGTATTTGTCAAATGTCATCTCAGGTGCCACCTCCCACGTGGATCCACCCTGATCCACCCAGTTGTTGGTGCTGTCCCCCTCTTAAATTATTTTGTAATTATTTGCCTATTTATTATCCTTCCCCCTCACCTAGAATATAAGCTTCTCAAGGCCAATGAGGTTTCAATCTCATAATCATGTGGCATAGCATCTTGCCCAAAGTAAGTGCTTATTAAATGCATTTTCTGGTCATTTAGTTACCAGAATTCTTAACAAAGAACAGAGTTTCAGTGATTTTCACCTCTTCTTTTTCAGCTCACCCACCCTCTAAGGGAAAGAAAAAAAGGGACTAAAATAGTTGAAATGGAGATGGAGATAGATGTCAGAAATCTAACAAGCATGGAGAAGAAACAAGGGAAATGAAGATAGAAGAGAGCTGGGAATGGATTTCTATTAGAGGAGAATTGAGGAAGCTTCTATTTGCATTTGGGAGCTGGCAAGAAAATGCTTATTAGACACTGAAGGCAAATAACCAAGCCAGACACATGCGGGGGGTGGGGAGGGAACAGTCTTCCTTGAAAGTTAGCTGTCTGCTTAACCTTAAAAATGACTGTATTTATTTGTCTTATATTTATACTTAGATGCTTATTTATGTCCTTGTTGTCTCCCTTATTAGAAGGTAATTTCTTTGTGAGTCCTAAGCATTGTGTCATTTTTTATATTCTTATATCCCTATCACCAGGCAGACAGGTGATGCAATGGATAGAGTGCTGGGTCTGGAGTCAGGAAGACCTGACTTCAAATCCGCATCAGACACTTACTAGCTGTATGACCCAAGGCAAGTCACTTAATGCTGTTTGCCTCAATTTCCTCATGTGTAAAATGAGCTGAAGAATAAAATGGCAGACCACTCCAGTGTCTTTGCCAAGAAAACCCCAAATAGGGTCACAAAGAGTTGGCCATGACTGAAATGAGTAAACAACAAATCCTTAGCATCTCCTACATAATACTTGGTGTTTCATAAATGTGTATTGGTTGCTTTCTTGTTGACCTGCTGGGATCTCCACTTTGGCAAGACACAAAAGGTAAAGGGAATTTTTTTCAGTGACCTACAGAGTATGTTCATGTTTGTGTTTCTGCTAGTGTTAAGTGATAGGTATATAAAAATAAAACATAGAGGAAGGAGTGAATTCCTCTATAGTCTCCAGGTTATCAGAGAGAATGACACATTTCTTGAAAGAAAGGAAAAGGTTATTTAATGGGAAAACAAAGGGGATAAAGATTTTGAGGAGCCTGAGGGAAATTCTATCTTATGTTAAAATGCCTGAGTGTGAGAAAGTGTGAGTCTAAGAAGGAAAGGACTCAACATGCCTTGAAAATCTGTAATAGCCATATAGCCCTGGCATGGCCATCAACCCACTAATACAGGCAGAGTAGCCCATAGGTGTGACATTCCTAACCATGGGTGGCACTAACATCATTCTCTCTCTCTCTCTCTCTCTCTCTCTCTCTCTCTCTCTCTCTCTCTTTCTCTCTTCCATGCTGTACTGGCACACACAGGTCTGGGAATAGGGAATGGAGGTTAGTCTTGGGTGCCACCATAGCATTACAATTTAACTCTTAAGGACCTAGATTTCTGTCTAACCTTAACCCCAGTATGGAATAATACACTCTCTTACTGCTATAGCTCCTGTGCACCTAACAGTGTGCATTCTATTTAAGCAAAATTAGTCACAATGACAACACTGACTCTTAATCATGAAACATTTGCTAAACAAGAAAACAAAAGCAATAGTAATTGGGTCACATTGTCCCACCAATGCAAGGAATGTCCATGGGGAGAGTGAGCATGCATTGAAACCTTCCATGGATTTCTCTAATCCTGTTACGGGACAACTCACAATTCTGGACTTCAAGCCTTGATGCCCTTGGTCTCCTGCTGGTCTAGATTGCTTCTCTGACACTCTTGGATTGCTGAAGCAGTGTCAGACACTTTTAGCACAAAGCCACTCTTAGCAGGGTACTGAGAAAGTGTTAATCTATTTCAGTGAAAAGCAATTCCGTTAAGCCAAAGAACTACAAACTCTTCAGACGTTCTCTTGGGGCTCTGAGAAGTTTCTCTCTCTCAACCTAAAGATGTCTCATTCTGGGCAGTAGAGTCCAATACTGTTAAGCACATGAGAGGTTTCCCATCTCTCAAGATGTAGATGGTGATAAAAGGCAAGAAGCCCAGCAACGTTTCCCCCAGCAACCAGATTCTGATTTCCTCCTATCAGCTTTCAGCAGCTACAAATCTCTCCTCCAGTAAGAGAAGCAGCAGCTAAGTCTATCTAGTTTCAATCAGTATTCTCAGCTGATTCA